TCACCAAGACATTCCTTATTGTCATATGCTTGTCTACTTGATGAATTTACATCATCAGTCTGGCCCCAGGAGATATTTGAGTTTGTAATCTCCAGTCTTTTTTTTTTTTTTTTTGAGATGGAGTCTTGCTCTGTAGCCAGGCTGGAGTACAGTGGTGCCATCTCAGCTCACTGCAGCCTCTGCCTTCTGGGTTCAAGCAATTCACCTGCCTCAGCCTCCAGAGTAGCTGGGACTACAGGCACATACCACCATGCCCAGCTAATTTTTGTATTTTTAGTAGAGACGGTGTTTCACCGTGTTGGTCAGGATGGTCTCGATCTCCTGACCTTGTGATCCATCCACCTCGGCCTCCTAAAGTCCTGGGATTACAGGCATGAACCACCGTGCCCAGCCTCCAATATGTCTTATAAGCATATGTATGCCATTATTTCTGCTCTTTAGATGGTGTTTACAATCAAAGGAATTCAATCCACAAGTCAGAACCCTTTGAATATGACCATTCTGTATTCACCAGAAATCATGTTATGCCTACATTACATCTCCATGATAACCCTATGAGGTAGCTATTGTTATTATTTATCTTCATTTATTGGATGAGGCAACTGAGATTTAAAAGCATCAATTACTTGCCCAAGGTCACACAAGTAAACATGAACACAGGATTTGGGAATGACAGAGGCAGGATTGGAACCCACACTTTCTCTCCAAGAAAACATTTAATCATATGACCCAGGGCTCAAGATAGGAATTGTTAAAGGTCCCACATCCTGAACCAATAGATTTCCCTCCTTCCTTTTGCAACACTCCTTCAAAGGCCACAGGTATCTTTAAGCAGCTAGACTTCATAATTAAAATGCTCCTTGTGAATACCCTTGGCTACCTGGCCTTTTCACCTTCCATTACACCCTCTTGGTAAAGTGCAATTGCTCTCGTCTGGAGAATACATCCATTCTCTTCTCTATTCCCCATTCTGTCAACCTCCCCTTTTTAGATACACCCCTTTGGATATGGACAAAGACTACCGGTTCGCTGGGTTCCTCTAGCTCTCACCTATTTTGCTTCTTCACAATCCTTCACAGCCAGGCTTCTGGGAAAAGTAGCCAATCTTGACTGCCTCCACTTCCTAACTTCCCACTTACTTTTCAGCCTCTGGCAACCTTACTTCTGACACCACCAATCCACTGAAATCTACATTACTAACGATCTTCTAGCTGCTGAATAAAATGGGTGTTTTTCAGTGTATCCTCTTTACTATTCAACACCTTTGAATACTTTCCTCTCAGAATGTTCTCTTCCCTTGGCTTCCAGGGCATAACATTCCCTTTTCTTTCTCAGACCTCTTCGGCTGCTTCCTTCAACTTATTTTGCAGCCCCTCCTCCACCTCCAACCATCAGTGTTAGGATTTCAACCTCGGTGCTCATGCGTGACTTGGTCACTTTCTGGAAAAAACTTCATGATGACTCCCAAGCCTATATTTCCACCATAACTTACTCCTAAATTTTATACAACTACTTCTGAAGTCCCACAGCAATTGAAATTTAACATGTCCCCAACCCCTTATTTCCTCCTTTTCCCCACTCCCAACTATTTTGCCTGTCCAGGTGACTACCTGCACCCAATCTTGAGTCACCTCTTTCTCACTAGGTGAAAAAGTCCCTGAAGTCTATATAATAAATACCTGGTTTTCTTCTTTTCTCCATTCCTGATATTGCAGCACCTGTTCATACTCAATCTTCTTCTTCTTCTTCTTCTTCTTCTTCTTCTTCTTCCTCTTCCTCTTCCTCTTCCTCTTCCTCTTCTTCGTCTTCTTCTTCTTCTCCTTCTCCTTCTTCTTTTTTTGCTTTTTTTATTGTGGTACAGTTTATATGCAGTATAATTCACACTTTTAAGTGTATAGATAATTCTATGAGTTTTGACAAACGCTTATAGTTATGTTACCACAACCACAATCAAAATATGCAGCAAGTTCCATCATCCCACAAAAAACTCTCCCACGTTCATCTGCAGTCAGCCCCTTTTCCTACCCTCAGCGCCTGGAAACCACTGATCTGTTTTCTATCCTTACAGTTTTTCTTTTTCTAGAATGTCATATACGTATATATATATATATAAATACATATATATACATATATATATATAAATACATATATATACATATATATAAATACATATATATACATATATATATAATTCCATATATATACATATATATATAATTCCATATGTATATATGGAATTATAAAGTATGCAACCTTGAGTCTGGTATCTTTCACTCAGCATAATAAATGTGAGACTTAACCATGTAGTTGTAGGCATCTGTAATTCATTCCTTTTAGTTTGTTTATCTATTTACCAGTTGAAGAACATTACTTTGTTTTCAGTTTTTGGCAATTGTGAATGAAACCAGTATAAACATTCATGTTTAGGTTTCCATGTGAACACAGTTTTCATTTCACTTGAGTTAATAACAAGGAGTGGGATTGTTGGCTCATATGATAAGTACATGTATAATTTTATAAGAAACTACAAAACTATTTTACAAAGTGGCTGATCCATCTTGTTTTCTCACCAGTGATGTTCAAGAGCTCTAGATGCTCTGCATCCATGTCAGCACTTAGTATTGCCAGTTTTATATTCTTATTTTTAGCCAATCTAAGAGATGTGTAGTAGTATCTCATTGTGGTTTTAATTTAATTTCATTTAATGATTAATGACATTAAGCATATTTTCATGTGCTTATTTGCCATTCATAGATCCTCTTTGGTGAAGCATCTGTTCCAATCTGTGTGCCCTCCCTTCACCTTAAACAAATGAATTATTCTTCTATTATTAGGTTTTTAAGAGTTTGTATATATTCTGGAGGCGAGTCTTTTACCAGATACGTGTTTTGCAAACGTTTTCTCCCAGTCTGTAGTTTGTCTTTTTGTTTTCTTAAGGGTCTTTTGGCCAGGTGCAGTCGTTCATGGCTGTAATTCCAGCACTTCTGGAGGCTGAGGTGGGTGGACTGTTTGACTTCAGGAGTTCAAGACCAGCCTGGGCAAGATGACAAAACCCTGACTCTACAAAAAATACAATAATTATCTGAGTGTGATGGTGCATGTCTATAAGCCCAGCTACTTGTGGGGCTGAGGCAGGAGAATCGCTTGAGCCCAGGAGGTTGAGGCTGCAGTGAGCCATGTTCATGCCACTGCACTCCAGCCTGGGTGACAAGAGCAAGACCCTGTCTCAAAAACAAAAAACAAACAAAAAACCGAGGTGTCTTTAATAAACTTTTTATTTTGAGATGATTGTAGATTCAATGCAATTGTGAAAAATAATACAGAGAACTCATATACCTGTCTCTCAGTTTTCCCCAATGGTAACATCTTGCATAACTATAGTACAATATCAAAATCAGGGAATTGACATTGATTCAATCCATCAATCTCATTCAATTTTATTTGACTTTTGCCAGTTTTACGTGTGCTTATTTGAATAAGCACAAGTGTATGTATTTTGTTCTATGCAATCCTATCACGTGTGTAGATTTCTGTGACCACCATCACAGTCAAGATACAGAAGAGCCCATCACAAGGATACCTTTTATAACTATACCCTGCATACCTCCCTAGCAACCACTAATTTCTCTCCATCTCTATAATTTTGTCATTTCATGAATGTTATACAAATAGAACCATACAATATTTAACCTTTGAGTCTGGCTTTTTTCATGAAACATAATTCCCTGAAAAGTCATCCAATCTGTTACATGTATCAACACTTCCTCCCTTTTTAATCGCTGAATGGTATTCCATGTTTTTTTTTTTAACCATCAGTTGAAGGACATCTGAGTTTTTTCCAGTTTGGGACTATTACAAATAAAGGTGCTATAAACTATAAACACATGTCTAGGTTTTCGTGTGACTCTTGAGCACATACAAAAAAATGTGTGCTCATTTTCATTTATCTGAGATAAATGCTTAAGAGTCCAATTGCTGCGTGTTAGAATGGCTGCACCTTTAGTTTTGAAAGAAACTGTCAAATGTTTTCCAAAGTGGCTGTACCTTTATACAGTGTATGTTTTACATCACACATTCCTACCAGTAAAATGCAACTGATTCAGTTTCTCGACATCTTTTTCAGCATCTGGTGCTGCCACTATTTTTTTTTTTTTTTTTTAAGCCATTCTGATAGATGAATAGTGATGTCTCATTGTGGTTTTAATTTATATTTCCCATGTGGATAATAATGTTGACTATCTTGTCATGTTCTAACTGTTTGAAAAGCTCGTCCTGTCTTGCCATGCCTATTGCATGGGAAACAGTACCCTTCGTCCAGTTTTATCCTTTTCCAAAACAGAGCTAGCTCACTTCTACCTCCATCATAGCACAGCTTTTATTCCTCGGTTTTGATTTCCTGTTGAAAATCTGTTTCTGTGTCACCTGAAAGGCCTTGTGAAGAAAAACAAAAATCTGTCTCCCTTTTCAGACCGTGATCTCCAAGTGGGCCGGAGCAGTTTTGCAATCTCGGCTCACTGCAGCTTCGACCTCCTGAGCTCAGGCGATCCTCCCGCCTGAACCTCCCGATTAGCTGGGATACAGGCGTGCCACCATGCCTGGCTAACTTTTGTATTTTTTCGCAGAGCCGGGGTCTCACTATGCTGCCCAGGCTGGTCTCAACCTCCTGGGCTCCAAGCGATCCTCCCACCTCGGCTTCCCCAAAACTTCTAGGATTACAAGCGTGAGCCACCGCGCCCGGCCCAGTGCTGTATTCTTTTAAAAGGCAAGGGCATGGAGAAAAAAAAAGGGTGAAGGAACGGGTCGGGACAAGGCATGGTGGTCGTCCCCCTTTTAATCACTGCCCAGGCCTGCTCGGGCGCCCAGAGCCCACAGCCCAGGTGCTCGCTCATGCGCATGCGCAGCGCTCTTCCCCAACCCCGCCCTGGCCACGCCCCTTAGCGGCTCCCTTAGCGTCGCAACCAATTAAGGGAGGAGGCGGGATCCGGGCTGCCACGGTGCTCACTGGGTAGTGTCCCTAGCTACTGTTGCTAAGACTGTGGGTCGCCTGAGGTGGTGGGAGTTAGTTTTGGCAGCCCGTGCCTGAGAGACGTCGAGGGTCATTGCAGAGCCAGGGAGGAGATGGTGAAGCAGACGATCCAGATATTCGCGAGAGTGAAACCCCCTGTCCGGAAGCACCAACAAGGGGTACGGGCTGGAGCCTCCGGGGCGCCGGGGCGGCGGGGCTTCCTGGGCCGGGGTCGGGCGGCACGCGAAGGGGCTGGGCGGAGGTGAGGGACTTGCCGGCGGGGCTTCCCGCACACACCGACCGAGGCGCCCTGCAGCCGCGAAGACGCCGGCGCACTGCGGTCAGGGACGCGACCGACAGCCAGGCCACTCCCACCTGGCACGGCGCAGACCCGGCACGGAGCTTTCACACTAGTGCCATGTTCAGTGTGCGCTTCAACTACACGTAAGCACTCACTGCACCTTTCTGGGAAACTCACGCAGCACCGCATACGCAGATACACTCAACGGTACGTTTTGGCACTCAGACAAAACGTGCAAGCAAGAGATGTGTACGTCTGAAATAATACAAATATAGACACAATTGCACGAAGCATACATGTATTTAGTACTTTGCACCCAGTGAGACCTCAGTAATTTGCTGACTCTGTTGTCATTCTCCAACACAAACGTGAACCTTTACATATGCTCCTTGTATTAATAGGTACAGGTAGATACAGATAGATACATCCTGACCCAAAGAATACGTATGTGTACTTCATTCAGAAACCATTAACTAAATATTTACTAGGTACTTCCTCTAGTGTGCTAAATTCAGAAAGGTACAAAGATGGTTAAGACATTGCCCTGGCTCTAAGCAGTGATACTTTGTGTGCTTCTTAAATATTTCAAAACATTCTCTCTTCTGCCTAGAAGGGAGCGTAGTCATCCTTATGTATCTTGAGAAATGGCCACCTGACAAGTGCTTTATATGCATTATCTCTCATTCTCACAAAAACCCTGCAAGGTTAGTGTCATCTTCCTCATTTTACAGATTAGGAAACGGAGTCTCAGGTTAATAATGTGACCAAGGCATCCAGCTGGTGAGTGGCAGAGCTGTAATTTTAATTAAGGATTTTTTGATTCCAAAGCTATCCCCTCTTTGGAAACTTTTTTTTTTTTTTTTTTTAGATGGTGTCTTGCTCTGTCACCCAGGCTGAAGTGTGGTAGTAAAATGTTAACTCCTAAATTCTCAAAGTGAGAATTTAGGCAAGGGCAATTTGGGTCATATTCATGCAGTGGGCATATTAATAATATTCCTATATATATATACATACTGTGTATATGTTTAGTGGAACATCATAGCATCTCATGATTAAGCATTTGCCTCATATAATTCATGTATTTAAAACAGGAATAAAGTAGTATAGAATGAACCATGGTTATCTTCCCATATTCTTTCCTCTAATAATCAATTACATGGATTTCTTTTTAGAGTGCATCGTATGTAAAGAGTGTATTATATGTAACATTTCCCCTCAGATTCTTAGCTTAAACTGTTGAGCTTATCTACATGGACTCAGCAGTCATAGCACAGGCTGGGATAAGGTCAAAAGACAGAATGGGTAGGGGTACGTTTTTATGACTAAGATTAGAAAATGGCTTTTCTAAAAATGACTAAGGCTCAGCGAAGTGGATGGAGAGTCTTGGATTTAATATTGAACTTTCTTTTCACTTTAAATGCAATGTTTGGATATTTTAATGTGCTTCATTTTGTATTTCTTTGGTGAGTCTGTAGAGTGGATTGTTTGATCCTCCAGAAGCAGTTTTAGGTGTCATATTTTTAGGTATCACACACACACACAAAGAGAATGGGAATGAATAAATATTGAATTAGTATATCCCTGTTCTCCCTTAAAAAACCCATGTTTAATGCCATATCTTCTTGTCCAAAAAAGATTGTAGAGTTCTTCCTCTGACTAGAAATTCTTTTTGTAGTATTTGAGAGTGACTCAAAGGTTTTTTTTTTCTTTTCATTTTGTATCTTCATTACCTTGTTACTTTTGTTCTTTAAGGCTTCATAAATTATAATAACATAGATTAATAAAAACGATATATAAATTAATCTCTGGCAGTTTTAACAGTGGTAATGCTTTTCACTTGTACAGTTCTTTATACATTTCAAAACATTTTCATATTCATCTTTGCATTTGTTCTGTCTTCTAAAAAAATAACTTCCCTCTCAAATAATATTTTTATGATTGGTTGGGTACAGTGGCTCATGCCTGTAATCCAAGCACTTTTGAAGGCTGAGGCAGGCGGATCACAAGGTCAAGAGATTGTGACCAACCTAGCCAACATGGTGAAACGCTGTCTCTACTAAAAATAGAAAAATTAGCTGGGTGCAGTCCCAGCTACTCAGGAGGCTGAGGCAGGAGAATCACTTGAACCTGGGAGGTGGAGGTTGCAGTGAACCAAGATTGCACGACTGCATTCCAGCCTGGCAACAAAGGGAAACTCCATCATATATATATATATATATATATATATATATATATATATATATATACATACACACACCACACACACACACACACACATATATATATAGATGATTTTGTATATATATAAAATGACTAAGGATAGAAAGCCAATGTTACACTAAACAAGTCATCTGGTTCTAAGGGAATTTTCTTAAGGCCTCAAAGAGTGTCTTAATCAGAATAATGGAGGGTCATTAACTGCAGTTAATATGGTTTTCTGTCTGCTGAGCAGAGAAATACAGAAATTTTAAAAATGGATGTAACTCCTCACTCTTGCATGTTTCATGTCTTATACACCCCCTTCACTCACCTGTCTGGCTATTAAACTTTTTTTTTTTAATATAGTGCCCAACAGGATATAATTTTAAAATGTCTCTTGAGAAAACCTAGTCAGAAAGCCTTGAACCTGATGCCATTGCTTTCTACAAATAATTTATGTAATGACTTTTCTGCATGAATTCTTCACATTTGCAATGAGAGGTTTCAATAAAAATACACTTAGGAAATTATTCAATCTTTCTGGAGATTTAGGGAGGCTTTTACTTGCTTAGGAATATGACTTTTCCCCCATAATCAAACATCGAAATGGGTCTTAAACAGGAAGTATTGCCTGTTAGAAAGAATTTTATTTCCTGGTAAAAGACAAGAAGGCTTATTTTTTTAAAAAAAAACCTCTAAACCTAATGACTAACTTTTTTTATTGTGCATTACAAAATACTTCCATTTCCATTACATCATTTGATCCCCACAGCAATCCTGTAAGGGAGGTAATTCTGTTTTCCTCATTTTATGTATAAGAAACTTCAATTCTGAAAGTGGTGGCTGGTCACACAGCTGGTAAATTGAGCTCAGTGTTGGACCCAAGTCTTGGAACACCAAATCTTATGCTTTTATTTATTCCACATGACCTCTTCATAGGCTTGACTCTTGATTTTCCTGGCCAATAAATGATGGAGTAGGAAACCAGGAAGAGAATGAGAGAACGTTATAGTCCTAAGGGTGTTGGTTAAGACCCTCTATTTCCATATCAGCTTAGAGAGGTTAAAGGATTTCTCCCAGGTCGCTTTCTAATTAGTGGCTGAGCTGGAATGAGAACCTTGAAAATGACATCAAATACATGAATTACATGTGTCTTTTGAAGCCACATGTGTCTCATAAAATGCCTGAAAATGTCTCATGGAACCTTAGGCATCTTTGAACATAACTTGAATTAGAGCATTCTTGGTGAGCTATCTGAGATGGCTTTTATCTCTGGTATTTTGTAAATGCTCAGAAATGCTTATTGACTGTAGTAAAATGTTAACTCCTGATACATCATACTAAAGCAATACTTAGAAAAAAGGTTGCTTTCAGGGCTATTATTTTCTCAATGACAGGAATAACAGAGATACTCAAATGCTCACATGTGAATGTGAGATCATTCAAAGATGGATGACCTGACTTTGATACAGCATTAATTTACGTTTCACCTGTGGTTCGGTTCCATCTGTCTGAATCAACACACAGTTCAAAAAGAAAAATTATTCAAATTATATGATATTATGACTTTTCAATCTTAAAGAGTATAATTTTCATATCATTACAAGTCATAATAACATGGTCATAGTTCAAGCCATAATTTCACCATTCTATATCCATTTGTTGTCTTCACATTTGCAGATTTACTCCATAGACGAAGATGAAAAATTAATACCTAGCTTGGAAATTATTGTACCACGTGATTTGGCAGATGGGTTTGTGAATAATAAGCGAGAAAGCTACAAATTTAAGTAAGTTTGTCTTTTTCCTTTTTCATTTCTGTTTCATTATTGAACTAATTCTTGTACTGCATTAATATTTATTGTGAAATCATTAGCACTATTTCTTGTGGAAAATGCAACACAGCTGTCTGTCTCACCTAGTAGATTGAACTCAAGTTCTTTTTTCCCTGCTGTGGCCAAGGTCAAAAAGAGCGTGTATTTCTATATCTGAGATTGTATTTCAAGATTCCGGCCTTTCTTGGCTACCTCTGTTTAGTGTTTTCCTATTCAATACACTGTGGTTTAGCACTTACAGAAAATTCCAATGCATGACTAAACTTCATTGAAGGTAAGAACTTACAGTATCATCTGTGTGCTGTGTAGGGGTGAGCCTTCTTTATAATATATATGATATTTGGACCTCATATGCACATATGTACACTCTATATCTATGCTGTCCAATATCATAGCCACAAGCCACATGTCGTTCTTGAACACTTGAAATATATCCAATCCGAACTGAGATGTGCTGTCAGGTATAAAACATATGAAAGATTTTTGAAGACTTAGCATGAAGAAAAAAGAATGTAAAATATCTCAAGACTTTTTTCATATTGATTACTTACTGAAATTATAACATTTTGGTATATGAAACTTTTAACCTTGGTTAAAAGTAGATTGTTAAAATTAATTCCAGGTGGTTCGTTTTGCTTCTTAAATTTCTCTTTATTTTAATTTAAATTTTAAAGATGGGGTCCCACTATGTCTCCCAGGCTGGAGTGCAGTGGTGCAGTCATAGTTCACTGCGGCTTTGAACTCCTGGCCTCCAGTGATCCTCCCACCTTAGCCTCCTGAATAGCTTGAACTACAGGTATGCGCCACCATGCCAACTAATCTTTTTGCTTTTTAAAAAACATGGCTACTAGAAAATTTTAAATTACATATGCTTTCATATTTATGGATGCCATTATATTTCTCTTGGGTAGTGCTAAACTATAATGGCTCAGTTGAAAAATACCAAACAGCTACCCTTGGATGGTCATCAGTGCCTTGGGTCTGAATACTCTTTTAGTAGCTAGGCCTTGAATGTAGGGAGTATAGCTACTTCACATTCTTTTTATTCTCCAGTTTTAGATTAATCTATTTCTTTTAATCTCCACATTTGATTTCTGGAGAAGTTGGAGCCCAAATTAAATCCATCTTTGATCTCTGGCCCAAACTTTGGTGATGGATTTCTGGATCCTCTGAAATAGTTCTAATTGTCCTCTACAATGCGTCTCTAGATTGTTTTACAAAGGCCAGGTTTTGAGACTATTCCTGCCTTTGGCCTTTGTATAAAATTATCTCAGATTTTTTTGTTGTTCCTCTCTCTCTTTCTCTCTTTTTCTTTTTAAATTATTTTCTTTATTTTGAGATGGAGTCTCACTCTGTTGCCCAGGCTGGAGTGCAGTGGCACAATCTTGGCTCACTGCAAACTCTGCCTCCTGGGTTCAAGCAATTCTCCTGCCTCAGCCTCCCAAGTAACTGGGATTGCAGACACCTGACACCATGCCCAGCTAATTTTTGTATTTTTAGTAGTGACGGGGTTTCACCATGTGGGCCAGGCTGGTCTCAAACTTCTGACCTCAAGTGATTCACCTGCCTTGGGCTCTCAAAGTGATGGGATTACAAGCATGAGCTGCTGTGTCTCGACTTTTTCTTTTTAAATTCTTATTTGCTTTTTTGTTGTCTCATAAAGATTTCTTGCTGGTCTTCATAACTCTGTCTTTTGTCTTTCATTGTAATACACATCTCTCCCTCCACTTCCATCCCATTTTCTTATTGTCTTCTTTTATAGTAAGTGCAAGCAGGGCTTGCTAACCTATCGTTGCCTAGTGGGGAGGCCCTCACCTTGTCTTTGTGTCTCCCCATTGCCTTTCATTATATCCTTTAAGGAATAGCCCTATAACCTGTGCTTTTTTTTCCTTTTTCTTTTTCTTTTACTTTTACTTTTTCTTTTTCTTTTTTTTTTTTTTTTTGAGACAGGGTCTTACTCTGTCACCCAGGCTGGAGTGCAGTGGTACAATCTCAGCTCACTGCAGCCCTGACCTACCAGGTTCAGGTGATTCTCCCACCCCAACCTGCCAAGTAGCAAGACTACACGTGTCCACTACCATGTCCAGCTAATTTTTTTTTTTTGTAGAGTCTGGGTTTTACCATGTTGCCCAGGCTGGTCTTGAACTCCTGGGATCAAGTGATCTGGCCCTCCTTGGCCTCCCAAAGTGCTGGGATTATAGGAGTGAGCTGTTATTCCTGGCCCCTGCTTTGCTTTTTCTGAAGGGGACATTCTCCCACTGATGTAAGCATGTTACATACCTTCATAACTGTGACCTGATGCCAGCTGGCCTAGGCCAAAATCTATTATATAAAACAACAGTTTGCTGAAATATTTTATTCAGCATGATTCCATTTGATTGATAAGAACAATTTATTATGTCTCTATCTGTGGATCCTTTCCAAAGTATTCTTTACATTATATAGATACAGAGTGCAATTGTTGGAAAAGCACCATTGGCTTATTTTTAAATCTCTGAATTAAAAATACTGGTTTTAATATTCAAAATTTAAAATTAATAAAATATTCAACTTACACATATGTTCAGAGATAAATATTTAAGCATTTTAAAGGCTGTTTTTCCCCCGAGAACATTTATTCAACCAATAAATATTTATTGGCTACCCACTGTGTGCTGTTTTAATTGCTAGGAATAACAGCAGGGAACACAACAAAGCTCCTGCTCATAGGGAGCTTACATTTTAGTGAGAGGAGATAGAGGAGAAGATCAATAAGCAAAATGTATGTCAGAAGGTGCTACATGCCGTGGAGAAAAGTGTGACAGAGAAGGGGAATGAGAAGTGCTGGGATGAAGGGGGCAAAGGAAAGGAATGGTTGCAACATTTAGTAGGTTAGGAAAGGTGTACAGTAAAGGAATATTTGGGCAAAGATTTGATGGAGGTGAGGAAGCCAGCCATTCAGGTATCTGAGGGATGAGACTTTCAGGCCAAGGGAATAGCAAGAGTGAAACCCCTAATGGGGAGAATGCCCAGCATGTTTGAGGAAAAGTGAAAAGAGCCATGTGGCTGGAGTAGAGTAAGCAAGAGTTAGAGGGGAGAAAGATAGGTCAAAGAGGTGGCAGAGTGGCCAGATTACATGGAGCCTTTTAAGTCATTGCGAGGACTTATGGTTTTCCCCAAAGTGCCATGAGAATTTTTGGAGGGTTTTGAGCAGAAGAATGAAAGTATCTCACATATGTTTTAGCAGGATGACTCTTGTAGACATGTAGAAAACCAGGAAAAGGAGACCAGGCAAGAAACTATGGTAGCATGGACCAAAGTGGTGACAATGGAAAAGTTGAGAAATAATTGAATTCTGGATGTATTTGGAAGGTCTCAGCTGACAGCATTTGCTGATGGATTGGATATAGAGTGTAGCAGAAACAGAGGAATCAAGAAGATCCTGAGGGTTCTGGACTGAACATTTAGAAGGATAGAGCTGTTACTTTCTGGGGTGAGGAAGAGCACAGAAGTGCACCATTCCTTAGGGTGGGAAGAAGTCAGCATATGCTGAGTTTGAAATAAGAGTTTAGAAAAATCCTACACAATTTCCTAACAAATGAAAAGACCACCTAAGAATCAGGAAACCTCAGGCATATTATTGATGAGCTCTCAGACTATGAGTAATTACTTTATCTCTGTGGATCTCAGCTTCTTCCTCTGTTAATGATTAGACTGAACCCGTTAAAATCCCTTCTAACTCTGGGATTCTGTTCTGCTCTTCAGTGGTTTCCAGAAGACAGCCGATCAAAATGCCTTTCAGATTACTATGCAACTACATTGTATAAAGTGCAATATTTGGGGATGATGACATTTGATGTTTAATATACACTTAGTGATTTATTATAAACTCAGGTGCTAAAATCTTTATTCTAAAATGTGGGGCAGGGGCAGTCAATTAAAAGAGAGATCTGGATTGCTTGTGTTTCTATCACCTATTATTTTAAATAGTGGAGGATATCATTTTTACCCAAGGAATTCAATATGCTTTATAGATGTTATACTAAAATTATATTTTAGTTTCATTTAAATCTTGTTGGAAGTGACTGGTACATGGTAGGCCCTCAGTATGTGTTTGTGGAATGAATAGGTCAATTAGAAATGAAAATGCTATAATTAATTTTATGCAAGGTACCTTTCAGAAGATATCCTGCATGTGATTTGCTGCCTTCTTTAAAACTTCTGCCATCTCTTTTATTTACATGGTGGTGGATATAATTACTCGTTTTTAAGGAAGTGGGGTAGAAGATGGCTAATTGATTCACTCAGTCATCACTCATCTGATAAAAGAAGTGAAACAGCCTTATCATCATTCTCAAAAGCTGAGAATATGTGTTCAGGCCTCATACTACACAGTGCTCTGAAGAGCAGTTCAGCAGCTATGTGTTACGTTGATCGCTGTGTTATGTTGGTGTTCTTATCTGAAGCTGTGATACATCTATAGAGTTTTGAGAAGCAGTCTGGGTATACTAAACAGTAAATATTACTGTCTAAAATACAGTCTTCCCTGATAAATGACATACTAGCCAGAGCGCCTTAGATTATTGCTTTGTATAGTTCATTCTTTGCTTCTCTAAAATGGAGGTAGGGCAGCTGTAGAGATCTTTTGAAGTTAATGTTGGTTAAAGATGATGAATTTCATTCCATTTTATATTTCCAGTTCAGCTTTCGACATCGTTTTGAACTCTCCAGTGGTCTTACATTTCACTTACAATCTCTAATTGACCATGTGCCCAGTTCACTTACGGAGGCAAGCATGTAAACCAAAGGTTCCTAAGCCGCTCTGAAAGCTGCTTAGGATAACCTCAAAATGTTTGCTTAAAGTGTTTGCTTTAAAATTTCCACCTCGATTTTTATTTTGAAAATTTGGAAAAGTTTATTTTGAAAAGTTAGAAAAATAACCCAGTCAACACACATATACTTTTTGTGGGAGATTCACCTTGTGTTAATATTTGGGCCAATTTGCTTTCTCTCTGTCTCTCTCTTTATTATCATGGTTTTTTTTTTTTTTTCAGGATAAAATCTATTTTAATTTGCATAATTTAAAAAGTACACACACTATATCATTAAAGGAAAGAAGTAGAAATGCTATCATATTATCATGATGTCTTAATGGGGGCCATACTTGTTGGTCACAACTTAGCACACTGTAAAAGAATAGATTCTGGGTGGGGTGCATGGTTCATGCCTGTAATCCCAGCACTTTGAGAGGCTGAGGTGGGTGGATCACATGAGGCCAAGAGTTCAAGAGCAGCCTGGCCAACATGATGAAACCCCACCTCTACTAAAAATATAAAAATTAGCCAAACATGGTGACGCATGCCTGTAATCCCAGCTACTCATGAGGCTGAGACAAGAGAATCACTTGAACTCAGGAGGTGGAGGTTGCAGTGAGCCAAGATAGCGCCACTGCTCTCCAGCCTAGGTGACAGAGGGAGACTCCCTTTGAGAAAAAAAAAATAGATTCTGTGTCTTCTACCCTGAGTATTCCACTGTGCTTGGAATCCAGCACAAGCTAAGTCACAGTAGCATTACAAGAAGAGTGAAATTGACACCGTACCTCCACCCCCTTCCCCTAGCCATTGCCAATCTGGTTAAACCTTCTCTTTGCAGGATAGGTCTATCTTAATTTACTTTTTGACTTTTGACTCATGCTCAACAAAATGAAACAAAACTGCCCTGAGAATTAAATGGTTGATGCTAGGATATAGCACCAAATTAGTGGAAAAATAAACTTTAGTTCAAAATACTAAAACAAAATTCAATAGTCAGACAATTCACAGTTGCATTCTTTTCTCACAGGCCAGACATCAGAAGTTCCTTGGCTGTTTACATCCTGTTCTTGGATTTCCATTTCATGCAGCTATCTAGTTTTGAATTTCTTGCCAATTGTAGACACTGTCCCTCTTGAGAGCTAAAAAGCACACAATTTGTTATTTGGTTCAAAGCTGCTGCAGTTTTTCAGAGGGATTTATTGTGCAGATCTTGTCACAGCAATACTGTTTACCCACCATTTGTATACAGGCATACAACAGCACAGTGTGGTTGAGACTACAGGGCAAGCATTGTGCTAAGTTAGGTAAGCTCAGTGATGTAAATATGGGGTAATTTATAAAGCTTTTAGAAAAACAAGATTTATTAATCTGATAGTGTTTGGAGGCTCAGCTTTTAAATAATTATTATTTTTCGCATTGCAGATTTCAAGGAATTTTTGATCAGGATGCAAACCAAGAGATCATTTTTGAAAACATTGCCAAACCAGTTGCTGAGAGGTAGGATTTTTCATATTTTGTTCAGTGGGCTAGTGGTTTTTCATGTTGTCTTCAATTCTCAGGTAATTGTGGCAACATGCTTAAGTGTATCAATTACATACTTAGGCTGCAGGACATGTAATGATGATAACATTAATGTCTTCTGTTCAGGTAACCATTTGTTTTAGATTTAGATTCTGAGTCTCAAAACAAAACAAAACAAAATGACACCATGAGATAGGCTAGCTATTGTTACTCCTATCTGAAAAGATATATAAACTGAGAATCACAGGAATTAAGTGACACTAATCAGGGTTGCATGGGTAGTGGTGGCAGAGTCCTAGATGATTTTCTGACCATTAAGCTCGGTGTTCTTTCCTCAGTACAGTACTTCAGACATATAGTTAGGTAGACAAAGGATAAGGTATGGGTGGCACCTGGGAGGCTGCCTAATAATGGTTGTCCTGCTCTACCTCAGTGTCATTTCAAAGCTTGGCCCTTTGCTTTAATACATCCAGATAATTCCAGGCTGCTGACTACTAGAACCAGACTCACATGAGAGTACCAAATAGATCAGAATGCCAATTTATTAATATGTACTGGCAGTCTCCTAGGGACTAGACACTCAAGCCCTTTGATAAGCACACCGTCCTCTTACAGGGAATCTGTATGGAAATCTACTGTTAATAAGCTTGCTTTCTGATCTGAAATCATTTGGATATGCTAATGACCTAATGGTAATCCCAAGTGGTATTTATCTTTACAGTTAAATAATGTAAAAATATATCTGCTAAATGATCCCAATTTTCAAGTCTACTCATCAGTACACCCTTTTTAGTGGACATCACTGGCAACATAGTGCCACATTTTGTCTCTCAAACTCCTGTTTTATGAATCTTGTGCAATCCAAGCCCTTCTCCTTTTAATATAGTCTTCCTTCATTAGGTAACTCACAATCAAGTAGGCTTAAACTATTTTAGAGTTGTAATCACAACCCAATAACACTTCTTTAGGTGAAATTCAGGTTGCCTTGATTAGATGTCAAACATTTCTGAAATTCCCTTCTTTTTAGCAATCATTTGGGTTCTGTCATTTTTCAGATAGCTAGTTTCATGCATTTTATTTTTAAACTTCCTAACATCATTCAGGAAGGGCACCTTAAGTTTCTTTTTCGTAGATGCCTGGGTTTTCCTCCCACTATCAACTCTCTCATCTTGACCCCACTTTCTCCTCCAGTTACTGCCCTCTTCTTCAGCTTTCCTTTATAGAAAATACATTTGAAATGGTCTACTATATTCAATACTTCAGTCCCTCTCCTAAACCCTTTTCTTATGTTTTGGCCTCCACTGCATCACTGAAATTGTTTTTGTCAAAGTCAGTCATGACTTAGTTGCTAAATTTAATAAGGATTTTTTCTCAGTCCTCATGCTATTGTCTTCCATTTTGACACAGCCAATTACTCTGTCCTCTTCCAGATACTTTCTTCACTTATCACACTCTCCTGGTTCTCCATTATTTCTCAATTAATTTATGCGGTTTTAGTTGTATGCAGTGACCATTTTCTTTGCTGTTCCCTCCGCCTGGAATTATCTTGCCTCAGAAATCTCCTTGGTTTCTCCCTCAGCAACTTGAAATCTTTGCACATGGCAGGTTTCTCAGTAAGGCCTTCCTGTACTACCTTGTTTAAAATTGTACCTCCATTACCCTTCCCTGTTTTTTATTTCTTTTAGCACATATCACCATCCAGTATATTATACAGTTTAATTCTATATTGGTTTTTGTGTCTTTTTGTGTCCACTAAAACAAAGCTCCATGAAGGCAGGGGCTTCATTCTGTTCACCGATGTGACAAATTCCAAGATAATAAGATTTCAAAAATGACAGGCAAGAGCACTTTTATCCAAGCAGCTCAAGTTGATCCTAGTGGGTCTTATCTTTTATCAATAGGAAATATTCCTCTTTGTCCTTTTTATTACTTTTCTCCTTGTATTCTTTTTTTCTTTCCTGAAATTAGTCTTGCTATTTTTTTCCATCAGCCTTTGTCTTGATTATCTTTCTTATCTTTCTCCCTCTCCTAGTTCAACTGCCTTGAGACATTTTGTTTTAAGAATAGGCCTGATAAATAAGATATAGCTGCTTTTGCCTTTTTAGCTAAACCCACAGTTCCTGATCTTTAATTAGTTGCTTTAACCAGTTTATCTTTATCATGATTACCATAATTTGGAGCTATTCCTCCTGTTATTTTGTTTTTCCTCTCTATTATACTTCCTAATTTTTTCCTTTCTTTCTTTTTGTTGGTTTAACTGTTGTTACTGCTTCCATTTTCTTTCTCAAGTTGTACATTGTACTTCAATAGCTCTAGTGTATATTCAGATATTTAAATATTTGTATTTTTCTCAGTATCAAAAACTTTCCCCTGTCTCCCTCTTTCTCTGTTTTCTCTCTAGTCAAGAATGTTAGGGTACTTTTACCTTGCCTCCCACGCCTCTACAACTTCTACTGTGGAGATCAACTGATATTTCTGTTTAAATTGTTGTTAATAATTTTTATTAACATTTATTTAAATTATCTCAAAATTATACCTATTTCTTTGCCTATCACTGTTTCTTGTATTCATGTCTAGTTCTTAGATTCCTTTTGGTAGTCATTCTCTAAAAACCTCTTAGAAAGAATTCAGGACTAGGGGGCTTTCTGAAGTCTTTCCTTTGCCATCAGAGTTAAAATGAACCCAGGAGTTCAAGGCCAGCCTGGGCAACATAGTGAGATTTTGTCTCTATAAATAATTTTAAAAATCAGCTGAGCGTGGTAGTACATGCCTATAGTTCCAACTACTCAGGAGGCTCAGGTTGGAGGATCACTTAAGCCCAGCAGGTTATAAGCCCTGCTATACCCGGCCATCTGACTGGGTGTACCATTCTACATTAACAGTTTTCTCTCAAAACTGTGAAGATACTGCATCATTGTCTTTTGCATACAGGGTTGTTGAAAAGATGTCCATGTCAATCTGATTTTTAGCTCTTATTAGACATACCTTTTCTTTACTTTCCAGGTGTTTTTAGGATTTTTTTCTTTTTTTGTTTTTATGAAATTTGATTTTAATGAGTCTAGGTATGGATTTTTTTTTCATATATTCTAATCTCTCAGTCAGCTATTTCAATCTGAAAACATGTATTCAAGTTCAAGGGTCATCACGTGGATCATTTCTCTGATCTCATTTTATTAAAGTGATCATTTTATTTATTTATTTGTTTGTTTAATTTTTAGTTTTGAGACTTAGTCTCACTCTGTTGCCCAGGCTGGAGTGCAGTGGCATAATCACAGTTCACTGCAGCCTTGACCTGCTGGACTTAACAATCCTCCCCCACCTCAAGGCCTGCCAAGTAGTTGAAATTACACATGCACACTACCACACCTGGCTAATTTTTAAAATTTGTTATAGAGATGGAGTCTCACTGTGTTGCCCAGACTGGTCTCAAACTCCTGGGATCAGGTGATCCTCCTGCCTCGGCCTCCCAAAGTACTAGGATTCCGTGCATGAGCCACTGTGTCCAGCCCAAAAAATAATTTTCTTACTTCCAACATGTCTATTTTTTCTTTCTGGACCTTGCAGTCCTAGATTTCAAATATCACAACTTCCCATAGTTCTCATCTCTTTGCCCTGTGGTTCTGAGTTCTTCAAGAATTTGTCGGCACAGACTTCCAGCCTGGTCATTTTCTTTCCAGTCATGTGAATTCTGCTTTATCCCTCCAATTTTTTTTTATTCTTACTATTTTATTTTTCATTTCTAGGAAATAAAAAAGTTTTTTCCTGCTTGTGAATGTGTTATCCTCCCTTTCCCTCTTCGTTTGAAACATTGGGTTTTGTTCTGTCTTTTTTTTTTTTTTCTATATGTGCATGTTATTCTGTGAGTTTGGTGCCCTGCTTTCCTGGTGCTGATTTCCCTCAGATGTTGGTGATTCTTGGTGGTGGGCTCATCCCTGTCATTTGAGAATGCTGTTGTCTGTTTGAGCTTGCCATTTCTGTTCACTGTGGCCTACCCTTGTGTCTATGGGGAAGGAATGGCATTTACTGAGGGTTTGGTGTGCTTATCTGCTAGGCATGAGGCCCTCTTTTTTTCCATGGTTCTAGGAGTCTCTTACTGTCCCTAATCCAAGCTTCTACTCTGCAGAAACATGTACTGCAGCAGTGAAAAGACAGATGGGGACAGATTCACATTTTCCTTTCATTCTTCTCTGCAGGAGAGGGTTGTTAAGCAAATTGACTTGTTTAAGAGCCTAGGGAGGAAATCACTTTTTTCATTGACTTTAAATATACCATATTCAGGATGTTCATATTTTATGCAAATTTAAGTTGTGTGACTTTGAAATGGTAAAACATAAAATACTAATAAAATAAACTCATTTATGCACAATATTTAAAGTAAAATATCCTCATATGTTGAAAATCGAATTTTTAAGAATTACATAACTTGGCAGGCCTTTCAATGGAGACTGTACCACTTTAGATATTAAACAGAAATGTTGGCTATTCCTAGTGAAGATTAGCCTTCAAGAACACATTCCCAACATAAAATCTGACCACTTTAAACAGGCCCTTTAAAATTATTCTACTGGGTTAACATATTGTAGCTTAATTCTGGTTACTGTATGCAATTAAGGCTAAATAAAACTAATCACATTTCTTTCCAAAATTCTGTAATTAAAAAATCTCACCAATTTAGACATCTTTTTCTACATAGTCCAAACCAGTGATATTATGTGCATGACTCCATAGTAAGGGTCCCCAAACCTGCAGGCCATGCCCTGGTACCAGTATGTGGCCTGTTAGGAACCAGGCCGCACAGCAGGAGGTGAGTGGTGGGCAAGGGAGCATTACCACCAGAGCTCCATCTCCTGTCAGATCAGCTGTGGCTTTAGATTCTCATAGGAACACGAACCATATTGTGAACTGTGCATGCGAACAATCCAGGTTACACGCTCTTTCTGAGAATCTAACTAATGCCTGATGATCTGAGGTGGAAC